TAGAATGTTAAACTGGATGGAACCTGGAATGGGCAGCTAGGTGGCAAGACTATGTGGTTTAATCCTAACATTTTACAGATGAGGAGACTGAGGCCCAAAGAAGGGAAATGACTTGATCAAGGACTCGCAACTAATCAACAGCAGAACCATAATTTTAACTCAGATCTTCTAAGTCTCAGCATCCTTTCCACATACCATTGTCTTCTTAACCCTTTGTCTTGAAAAAGGATGAGTCCCAGGAGTGTTATAGCCAAAATTCAGAGTTCCCACGATAGAGGACAAATTACTACAAACATAAAGAAAGAAGCAGTTCAAGTTTCAAGGATCAGAATCACGTAAAATCTAGCAGCTTCTAAGAATGACTAGAGGAGATCTTGGAACATAACATTCCAAAAGGCAAATGAGATAGGTTTCTAACCAAGAATAACATAACTTGAAAAGCTGAATATAATCATATAGAGGAATAATGGATCTTAAGTGCAACAGAGGAGTTTTTAAGCATTTCTGAAAAAAAGACAAGAGCCGAATAGGAAGAAAGGAGGGAAAAAAACAAGCAATGTGGTTTAGTGGTTAGAGAGCTGGTATTGGAGCCAAGGTGACCTGGACACATTGGGTAGGTGACGTTTGGGAAGTCACTTAACTCTGCAGTGTTTGAGATAAATCTCTAAGAATATAAGTTTCAGAGAAGGTGCCAACCTGCATTGACAAGGGGATTTCCCTTTGCCAAAGAGACTTGAGAAGCAAAGAAATTAGAAGAGAGTGAGAACCTCCCTCCCCATCCCCAAAGAAGGAAGATGTATCATCCATGTAAGTCTAATATAATAGAAACACAATTTGGAACAAATGTAAAATAGAAAACTTACTGACCATTAATATAAGGGATTCAAAAAGTCTTAGTAAAGTTTTGAGCTACTAAAGTTTCAAGATACCTAGTATAATGAACAATGGAAGATATCCAAAGGTGTCAAGGTAGGTGAGTGAAACTCTTGTTGTTCAGTTATGTACAACTCTTCATGACCCTATTTGAGGTTTTCTTGGCAAAGACGCTTGAGTGGTTTGCCATTTCCTTCTCCAGCTCATTTTACATTTGAGGAAACTAAGGCAAACAGAGTTAAGTGACTTGCCCAGGGTCACACAGCTAGTAAGTGTCTGAGTCCAGATTTGAACTCAGGAAAATGAATGTTCCTGATTCCAGGCCCAGCACTCTATTGCTATGCTACCTAGCTGCCTGATTGAAACTCTAGCATTTCTGAAAAATTGGAAAGGAATGGACCTAGTTTAAATCCTTAATGGTTGGCTCAAACACTCCACACTGGTGCATTAATTACTAGCAGAGTACTTTACCAGCTTCCTTTCTGATACAAGCCTGATACAAGTCTTAACAGAAGACATCACATTTTTTTTTTTTAACGCAAGATGAACCCTAATCATGCATCACATTCTACCATGGCTATTTTCTTGCCATCACCTTGCCTGTTCCTCTATTCTCCAGACCGCTGGAAACTGCCATGTGCCATGTTTGTGGTTGCACCTCCTAGGGGACTTGACACCCTAAGTTCCAGAACTCCAAGGGGAATTGCCAAATATGCCACCACTAAAAAATCAGCTGCTTTTCTCATGGAAACCTCCAATCATAGCAAAATGTTGATTTGAAAAGTATAAAGGTATAAAACTCCAAATATTCTCAAGGAAGTTTTTGAACTTGAATATGGAGGTTAAAAATTATTTCTATTTTTTGAGACAGAATCTCCCTATCTCTCCCAGGCTGGATATGCCACTGCCACCCATGGATCCAATCCTGATACTGATTGGCATGGAAGCTTTATCCTGCTGTTTTTCTGACCTGGGTCCATTCACCCCTCCTTAGGCAGCCTGGTGGCCCCCCTTCCAAGGGCTCACCATATTGTTGTCAGACTTAGTTTGAACACCAGACTGGCATTAGCCCTATGGCAAGTCAGAATTTCTGATTTCAAATGATCTACCAACCACCCTCACAGTAGGGATTATAGGCATATGTGCCCAGTAGCTAGGATTACAGGTGTGCATCCCCTAGTTGCAGGGATTACAAGTATATGTCACTATGACTTGCTGGAAGTAAAATTGAACCAATGGATAATTGCCCTGGTCTTCCCAGGAATTCTATTAAGAAGAAAACTGATGCTATAAATGTTAAGAAATTGTTGGTATCCTGATGTCAAAACCTAATGTCAATAACACATTTAGAGGAAGGAACATCTATTCGATTTTTTTGGCATAGTGAAATGGATAATAATTCATCTAGAGGGCATCCAATTGAAAACTGTACAATGCTAATGAAATGCAGAATTCATCACCCTAAGGCAAATATAAAAAATTGATATTTCCTTGTCTAAAAGGAGGAAGATGATTAATACAAGTTCTCAGAGCACAAGATAAATAGGTTAAAAATTTATAAAAATACTTTTACTACAATCAGTCAATCAATTGGTTGGTTTTTGTCCTTCATTCTTGAAGAGGACCAAAATGACTTTTACTACAATCAATCAATAAACAAATATTTATTAAGTGCCTACCATGTGCCAGGCACTGTACTAAGCACTAGAGACACAAAAAAGAGGCAAAAGATGTTCCCTGCTCTCAAGGAGCTTGCAATTTAATGCAAAGATGCAAACAAATATATACTATACAGTGTATACTGAATAAATAGGAAATACCAAAGGAAGGCACTAGAACGAAGAAGGGTTGGGGAAAGCTTCTTGTGGAGGGTAGCATTTTAGTTGGAACTTAAAGGAAGTCAGGGAGGTCAGTAATCTAAGCAGAGGAAGAAGAGAGTTTCAGGCATAGGGGACAGCCAGAGAAAATGCCTGGAGCTGAGATGGAACATCTTGTTCTTGGAACAGCAGGAGGCCAAGTATCACCGGATTGAAGAGCGCTTGTTGGAGAGTGAGGTGTAAGAAGACAGGAAAGGTAGGAGGGGGCTAGGTTCTAAAGGGCTTTGAATGCCAAACAGAACATTTTGTATTTTCTACTGGAGGCAACAGGAAACCACTGGAGTTTACTGAGTAGGGGGGTGACATGATTGGACCAGCTCTTTAGGAAAATCACTTCAGTGGCTGAATGGAGGATGGATTGGAGTGGTGAGAGACTTCAGGCAGGTAGACCCACTAGTGGGATATTGCAATTATCAAGATGGGACGTGATGAGGTCTGTACTCTATAGAGTGGTGGCAGTGTTAGAGGAGAGAAGGGGACATATATGGGAGAGTTGCAAAGGTGAAATCAACAGGCCTTAGCAACAGCAAGGACTCCAGGATGACTCCTAGGTTGTGAGTCTGAGGGCCTGGGAGGATGGTGTTGTCCTCTACAGTAATAGGGAAGATAGGAGTTGGGGAGATTTTAGGGGGAAAAATAATGACAACTGGCAAATCATCCATTACCAGGCTTAAGGCTAACACCTGATAGAACCAGCCACTTTTCTGACATATTTTTTGAAAACTCAGGATAACCTCCGCACAATGGTGAGGTATCAGAGAAAGATATTAGTGCTAGTATTATCATCCATGTTTTACAGATGAGGACTCAAAGCCTAGAGAGATAAAGCACTTAACTTGTCCTTGGTCACACAATTTGTAAATGAGAGAACAGAATTTGAATTCAGTTCTTAGGACTATAAATCTAGTGCTCTCTTCCCTATAGAGATCATCTAATAATGATAGCTAGCATTTATATAGCATATTAAGCTTTACAAAGCACTTTTCAAATCTCTAATTTTATATTTACAGTAGCAATAATAACAATAATAATTAGTATTTATATAACTGTAACACTCTAAGGTTTGCAAAGTGCTTTACAAAAATTTCACTTTATCCTTACAACAATAGGTACCATTTCTATAGTGCTTTAAGGTTTGTAAAGTGCTTTAAAATATTGTTTCATCATTGTCCGTGCTATTACTAATCCCCTTTTACAGATGAGGAAACTGAAACAGAGATTAATTAATTTGCTCAGAGTCACACAGCTAGTAATTATGTGAAGCCAATTTTGAACTCAGGTCTTCTTGATTCCAAATCCAGCCCTTTATTCTCTGCACTACCTAGCAACAGCCCTGCTATTACAGTTATCTCTTCCATATCAAGACTTTCCCCATTGTGGTTCTGATATATTGGTGGTTGCATAAGAAATTAAATGGGAATTTTTCTGGAGTTTTGTGGAAGCCACATGTGAAGGCCAGCAGACATCACAGAGCCTATGACCACATACTTAACCCAAATTTTACAATAAGGTCCTATAAACACCCCATAAAAGAAAAAGAGAAAAAAATTCAGACTTCTTCTCTGGTATGAAAGGGGGGCCAAAAAATTTTACATGGATTTTCCAGATCATGGGAGTGCCATGCTCTTAGCCCCCACTATGTGGAACAGATAACTATTATCCTCATTTTACAGATGAAGAAACTGAGGCAGAAGTGAGTTGGCCAGGGTTACACAGCTAGTAAGTACTTGAGATTGGATTTGAATTCAGGTATCAGTCAGCTTTAATTTGATGCCGTCATGTTTTCATATGAGGAGTGTCACCATTTGGACTCAACCCAGCTCTCCTGACTCCCAGACCAAAAGCTCTTTGCACTTTACCAGATTACAGCCTCACCAGGTTAAAGGGAGGCCTTTTCAGCTGGGCAGGCTCTCCCAGAGCTTTGCTGTGCTGAGACAGCACTGAGGAACCCAGGGTTTCCTCCATGTTAGGATGAATGCTTGGACTAGAAATTGGTTACAATAATAATAATAAAGCAGATAACCCGAAATCCATTTTCTTGGGTTTAGGATACATCCTATGGTTTACTGTGTTCAAAATGTCATTTTTAACCTCCTTACCTCTCTTCTCTTCAGACCTTGGTCACAATAACTTTGCATCACTCCCTGAGACCTGGAGGGGCAGAGTCAATGGAGGCCACCCTGTGACTCAGCCAGCCCTGGGGGAAAGGGGGTAAGTGGCCTGTGCTCTCTCTTTCCTCTCCCACTGCAGGAGGTAGACATTTACACTGTGAAGACTGAAGAGCTCTCATTCACATCTGCATTCTGCCTCCAGATTCAGCGCAATGACTACATCCACGCCCTGGTCACCTATTTTAATATTGAATTTACCAAGTGCCACAAAAAAATGGGGTTTTCCACAGGTAAGCAGGCTATTCTCCTGCCCTCTCCGCCAGCTGGTACCTCTCTTATAAAACTCTGTTGTCTCCTTAGTGGTTTATGAAAAGTATTCAGGAAAGACATCTTGGAATCTCTCCTTAGAGGACAGGAAGAAGCAGCTTTCATCCTCATTATCAAAGCTATAATGAGGAATTCCACCATCTGGGGAAAATTCATTTGAGTGTGGGTGGGGTTGGAACAGAAACTCTGGGATACCTTAAGGATAGTGAATACCACTATGGGCTCAGTGCTGGTTTCCGGGGTGTTTTATAAGGCACAGATGTTCAAGCCAGAGAACACCCCCAGGGTATATATCTTCTCCTCTCCCCCAACTTCCACAGCCCCAGGGAAGGTAGGCCCAAGAGAGGGGCATGATATCAATGAAGCCCCAAGGGAAGGAGGAAGGGAGGAAAGAGCACATTTCTTCTCTTCAAGGCTCTGTCCTTCTTCCTGGACATCAGCCAGGCCTTCTTTCTTCTACTTCCCAAACCATCCATTTGCCTGAAGGAAGGAAGCATGCTTCCCAGATGTTGGTGCCCAGGGGAGAAGGAAATACAATTTTTAATCAACACTCTGAGACAAAGCTCTGATGGCCCAGTGCAAAGAATGGCTCCTTTTGGGACCCCAGCATCTGATGGCATCTCTCTGGAGAAAATGTCCATCTTAAGCCAGAAAGCCACAGGCAGCAACAGCAATCCTAGTCAGCTGGTGGAATGCTAAAATCTGAGGACTTTTAGGACTGGATAGGACATTAGACATTATTCAGAGGTGGAGAACCCGCGGCCTCGGATCTAGCCCAAACCTTTCATTTTATTAAGGAATCTGAGCATGGAATAGGAAAATGATTAATCCAAGAACACTATTAGAGACAGAGCTTGAACCAAGTGCTGGGTATTTCCCCTGCAACCCATTTTGGAGGAGACTACAGTGGAATTAGGGCATTTAGTTAGATCTCTCTGCTTAGTAGGCTGCAGGTACTATAAACAAAGGGGAGGAAACTACATATTCAATTGTATCAGGCTCTTTTTCATTCCCCTACCTCCCTCAAAGAAATAGGTTCTAGCCTCAGCTTTGCCATGCATTAGCTGTGTGACCTTGGTCTAGTCATTTACCTAGTTTTGTTGCCAGAGGAATATATGTAGAATGAAGATGTGGTACTAAATCTTTAAGGTGATCCTAAGTGCTATTCTTCTAAGGCTATTTCTAATTTTTAGTATGCATAGCATACATGTGTTGGTAAATGTTTAACAACTAGCTCTCAAGGAAAAATAATTATACTCATGACCTAATTTTTAGATTAATCTTCATTATTAAAATTTTCTCTGTCCCTTTCTTAAATTTAGACAATCAATGTTTAGACAATTTAGACAAAGTTTAGGGAATTAAGTTTAGACAATCTTAAGTTTAGACAATAAATCAAGTCCTGATTTGTAGCATTTACTGATTTCCAATGTGTGAATGCTCACACTGAACATGTAACAATCACATGGGGAACCTGTACCAACTGGCTCCAGCACACCCCTGCATGATGGCGTGCTAAAGGTCAGGGTGGTGGGACCATAGGCATCTGAATCTGTTTTAAGGAGGAAAAAAGTGACAGGAAAGCAGAGTGGGGACGTAGCCTGAGAATTATGAGATCACAAAAAGATAAAGGGCATTTAGCTGAGAGGGGACTTAGAAATTGTGTGATTCAATCTATTCATCTTCATAGGTTAGGAAACAATACCTAAGAGGTGAAATCATAAAAAACATACATAATAAATGGAGCAGCTAGATGGTGCAATGAGTGGATAGAGTGCTGGGCTTGGAGTTAGGAAGACTCTTCTTTGTGAGTTCAAATCTGGCCTCAGACACTTACTAGCCGTGTGATTCTGGGCAAGTCTCTTAACCCTGTTTGTCTCAGTTTTCTCATCTGTTGTTGTTGTTTGTCCTTTGTTCTCAAAGAGGACCATGACATCAGGAAGATGATGCCATGACTTGCAAATGAATTGGATTTAAGTGAAGGAGGGCTATGCTTAAATGAGTTGGAGAAGGAAATGGCAAATCCCTCCAGTATTTCTGCCAAGAAAACCCCAAATGGGGTCACAAGGAGAAGGAAGTGGCTGAAAAAACAACAAATCTTATTTCTGGAGCCCCAGAGTAGAGGTTCCTCAGAGGTCCAGTCCAACCCTTGTATAAAAAAGCATGCCCTGTGAAACGTTCTTAACAAGTGGCCCTCTAGTCTCTGCTTACAGACCTCCAGTGATGGAGCAGCCCCTTCTGCATACTAGCACCCCCCAAAATACCCAAAGCTTAGTTGGAAACCCAGGTGATTCATTGAAAATCAGGTATAATTAATGATGATAATAGCAGAAAGGGAGTGTGGAATTTATGTGGCTCATTGGATAGAACACTAGACCTAGAGTCAAGAAGACTCGTCTTCCTGAGTTCAAATCTGGCCTCTGATACTTATTAGCTGTGTGACCCTGGACAAGTCATTTAACCCTGTTTGCCTCAGTTTCTTCATTTGTAAAATAAGAAGGAACAGGATACCACTCCAGTACCTTTGCCAAGAAAACTCCAAATGGGGTCACGCAGAATCAGACACGACTGAAAATGGACTGAACAACAACAATAAAAGTATGCGATAGAAGAAAGATCAATGGATAATGAGTTAGGAGTCCTGGGTTCAAGTCCTGACTTCTACCACCCAACTGTGTTATCTTCGGCAAATCAGATTAAATCTATAAACCTCAGTTTCCATATCTGTAAATTGAAATAAAAGCACTTGTACCATCTGCCTCCCAGGAATGTGGTAAAGATTTGGAAGGAGAACTAGATCCAGAGTCAGAGGTGCTGGGTTCTGATCCTGGTTCTTCCATGTAACACCTGTGTGATCTTGGACAAATGACTTTATCTTTGTGGTTCTCTATTCTCTCACTTGGAAAACAACAACATTGAACTCAGCTCTAAATCTCTGAACTTATAAGTTGTTTTTGACCAGAAAATATTATGTATACATGAGCCATAGTGATGATAATGGTGATTAAATGAAAAAGCATTTATCAGGTGCTTACTAGATGCCAGCCACCCAGGGCTGCAATGCGTAAGGCAGGGTAACTATTTCCCAGGGGCAGAGCTAAAATTGCTTTGTAAGATCCTAGACCAGATACGGAATCCTGGCTCTAACACTACTTAGACAGATGATGTTGGATGAATCACTTAAATACTCAGTTTCCACATCTGTAAAATGGGAAAAATAACACTTGAACTAACTGGAACTAACTACTTCATCTGACTTGTGGGAAAAGTACTTTGAGCCACAATGGTCCTATTGAAAAGTGGGCTTTATTATTACCATCCTTAGGGCCCAGTAACTTAGTCCCAGTACTTCAAGGAGGGAGTAAGGAGAAATAATAGAGTTTTTCAAATAAAGAGTGCTTTGTGACTAACCATGGCCAGTTTGAACCCTGAGCCCTGGAGCCTCATCAGACATATATGGCAGGGTCATTTGGTCTTCACAATAACTTTGTGATGCAGTCACTGTTATTATCCCCATTTTATAGATAAGGACAATGAGACTGAATAAAGATGCCAAATGACTAGCCTAAGGTTATCCAGCTATCTGGGGCAGGATTTGAACTCAGGTCTTTCTAACTCCAGGTCCAGTGTTCTATTCATTACTATACTACCTAGCTGCCTTTGCACAAGAGAATTTCTCTGAGAAGTTGTCTCTCTGCTCTTCTGTGTCTGCCAGTAGCACCCGCCATTGTCCATAAGCTGGGCCCAACTGCTCTTGACACTTAACATTCACCTTCCAATCCCTCAGCCTCCGTAGCCATGTGATTGAGCTGCTCAGGCCTGAAGATTTCAGATGAGTAACTAAGGGCCTGAAATAAGTCATTGCACATATTTTAAAAATCTTGAGCATCAATATTTATTGCTCTTGATTTATGGCTGTGGCCATAATTGGCATGTTCTCATCATGGCCCCTCACAGTCAAAGACAAATACTGGAAATGGGATTTGGAGGTTCAAAATGCAATATAAATCATTGGGTGGATCTAATTCTATTTCCCTTTTTTTCAGGCTATCCTCTATGGGGAGTTCAGGGCATAGAATCACAGGGTAGTAAATTCTCCTACAAAAAACCCCAACAACAACAACAACTGGATTTGGAGTCAACTTTGCATGGATGTGGCCTTAAGTTGCTTCAATTCTCAGGGCCTCAATTTCCTCACCTATAAAATGGGAGAGTTGTCACTCTAGAAAATTTCTTCTTGTTCTAAGTCTGAAATCCCATGGTCTTCTGATCCTAAATTCCAGGTTTTAGTTTCTACTTGGTCCAGGGGAATCTGTCTCCTTTTCTTCCCTATTCTTCTAAAACTCTCCCTCCTGTGATTACTGCCAGGGCAGCTGTAGCCTGGCTCTGTCTGTCTGACCCATTCTCTCTATTTTTTTTTTTTTGGAGGCAATCTGGGTTAAGTGACTTGCCCCGGGTCACATTGCTACTAAGTATCTGAGGCTGGATTTGACAACAATCAGGTCCTCCTGACTCCAGAGCCAGTTCTCTATTCACTGTGCCACCTAGCTGCCCACTTATCCACTCTCGGACATGATCTTATCACACACCAATGAAGCTTGGAAATGATCTGTTAACAATTCTTTCGTAGATCCAGGCATAGGGATGGTGTCGGGGGTGGGGTACGTCCTTGGGGTTGTCACCAGCTAATGAGTGCCCCCTCTTATTCTGGAACTTCTTCTTGTTTTGTCCTCTGTATCTAAAGATCTTAGTGAGTGGAGGGTTGGTCTTAGAATCAGAAAAGACTTGGGGTCTGTGCTGAAAAAACCTGACTGTGTGACCCTGTTCAAGTTATTTAAACCCTTAGTACCCTAGACAATTCTGTAAGGGTATAATTTACAATTAAATTGCCAGCTTGTCTTAGGGGATAAGTTTACACACTAGGAGTTCCAGATGCCAAAGAATCATATATTCCAACCACATT